GTTCACATGTCAGTGAGCAATATTGCATGTACAATATTGCAGATGACCTGCATGGCTGCATCTGGTTGAAGGGTAGAAACACCACTTTTCCACTTTTTACTCCCTTGTTTTTCATGCATATTTCTTCAACAACTAAACATTGTGTTTTTCTTAAAAAAATTTACTATAGAAAAGTTGAATTTTTAAAATCATATTAATCTATTTTTATTCTTTTACTAATATTTAATCATGTGCTAATGAACTATATTGTTTTCTGTACAGAAAGAAGAAGAGCCCCATCGGTTGCCTTAATAAGCCAAAGCAAAAGATAAAATTTGAATTTTTAAACTTAATTTTGAAGTTGATTTAAAGATTTTTTTCAACATAGTTTTTTTTTCAGCATCGACTTTTAAATCGTTAAGAACACATGTATAAAAAGTTTTACCAATAAATTAGTTTTTTATTATCTAATGAACCAAAATGGCTTATTAGAAAATATGAGTAACCGATGAGGCCGGAAGTATCCAACTAATACTCTTGAACACATAGGGCCTGTTCATTTTGATGCCATTTTCAACCATACCATTTTTTTTGTCAAAGTTGCCAAAAAATATATACGTTTAGTTTGTTACCAAATTTGGTCAATACATAAGAAATCCTGCCAAAATGTTGGCAATATTGCCATCTTGTTAAAATTTTGGTATTGCCAAAACTTGGTAAGGTTTATTTTGGCTACAATCTGAACATGCCTATAATAGTAGAAGGGGTTTATTTGCAAATATCCATCTCCAACTTCACGTGGGACTATCTGAGTGGATTAAAGTGGTTTAGAATCTAATAATCGAAACCCATTTTGAAAAGGGTTAAATTATCAAATCTCTCCTCTTGACCCTCCCTTTCTTTCCATGGGCTTCGCCGGCGACTGGACCCTCTACTGTCTTGAATGCGCTTCATAGCTTGTTTTCATAGACTTCATTGGCGACTTGATCCTAGTTTGTTTTCATGGGCTTTACGGGCCACTGGACCCTCGCTTGTCTTCATGGGCTTTATGGGCCTCATTTTCTTCAGAATTTTATGGCCTTCTATACGCCCACTACACCTAATCACGCGCAAAATCTCACTGCCGGTCCGGCCTGGCCCACCCGCAACGACTAGTCAACACGCGCTGCGGCCTCGCCGGCTTCTAGGCCCACGTAGAAGGTTCGAGAACAACGAGGACCGCATAAAAGCATCTCCCACCCCCACGATCTCGCCCTCTCAAAACCCTCTCCTAACCCTAGCCGCCGCCGCAGCCGCAGCCGCAGCCGCGCGTCGTCTCCTCCGCCCGCGAGCTCCTCTTCCCGCCGGCGAGAGATCAGGAGCACGCAAGGCGCGCGGCCATGGCGTCGGAGACCGAGACGTTCGCCTTCCAGGCCGAGATCAACCAGCTGCTGTCCCTCATCATCAACACCTTCTACTCCAACAAGGAGATCTTCCTCCGCGAGCTCATCTCCAACTCCTCCGATGTAAGTTTGCGCCGCCCCCGAAATTAATCCCCTCTCGTCGAGGAATCGAAATCGGTGCTTGCTTATGTGCTCTTTGCTGTTGTTGTACGCGTCGATCTGTGAGCGTGACGGCATCTGAGGATCATATACTGATAGGGCGTAGACCTGTTTCAAATCAATGAGGTGTGAGCGTTGACTCGTGATTTGTAGAGTTTGTGCTAGTTTATTTGTTTGTTTTACTCATCGAAATGTGAATATGGCCACATCTGAGCACTAGCATAAACTTGTTACAAATCAGCGAGGGTTGTGTGTTTACCCGTGCGTGTAATCTGTATAGTGTGGTAGTGTGCTGATGCTTTTACAGATCTGTGTGTTTGGGTGATGAATTCGATGTGACATGGGTGTGTGTGGTTTCTGCAGGCATTGGATAAGATTAGGTTCGAGAGCCTCACGGACAAGAGCAAGCTCGATGCGCAGCCGGAGCTGTTCATCCACATTGTCCCCGACAAGGCTAGCAACACCCTGTCGATCATCGACAGTGGTGTCGGCATGACCAAGTCGGACCTCGTCAACAACCTCGGTACCATCGCCAGGTCGGGGACCAAGGAGTTCATGGAGGCGCTCGCTGCTGGTGCTGATGTGTCCATGATTGGGCAGTTTGGTGTCGGGTTCTACTCCGCCTACCTTGTTGCTGAGAGGGTTGTTGTGACCACCAAGCACAACGACGACGAGCAGTATGTGTGGGAGTCACAGGCCGGTGGGTCCTTCACTGTTACACGTGATACCTCTGGTGAGCAGCTTGGACGGGGTACTAAGATCACCCTCTACCTCAAGGATGATCAGGTATAAGATTCAGCACATTTCTCTTGTGAATTCCTATTACTTGTGTGATATATGTTGCTGTCCATGTGATGTTTTTTTTGTCAGAACTTTAGATGTTCTGTACATATGACAATTGGATGAGTTCGGGCCTGTATGGTTGAGTTGGCATGCTACCAGTGTACATGATCTTTCTTGACTGTTAGCATGTTCTGAAGAAATATTCTTGCTACTTTAATAAGAGGTTGTCTTGATGACATGGTGCTCATTTTGTAGTACAATAAATGAACTGTATAGATTAGGGGTGTACAGCAGTTTTTGGAATAGTGGTATCTTGTTCTCTTGGTTACATTTACTGAAAATCAACATTGCTGATAAACCGTAATTCTGAACTAGTGATATGGGTTTCTTTGGTAGTAATCACTTAATTAAACAATAGTATTAGTTGTAACAATATATATTTGGTGTAGTATACATCTTACTGTTTTCCGTTAACATGAAATGAATTTTGAGATTTACTGCTTTCAGCTTGTCTTTCTGTTCTTTTGTGCTGTAGTTGTGACTTCCTTGTATGCTACATTGTTATGATCTGTGACTCTTTTGTTGTATTCTGCAAATCAGTTTATATATTGTTTGTTCCAATGTTCTTATCAGAATGCATAATGGCATAACACCTTGTTCCAATAATTAGCTGTATCGTTTTTTTTGTTCTTATTGTTTGTTGTTTATAATAAACTGTTGCAATTTTTACTTGCAGCTGGAATACCTTGAGGAACGTCGCCTCAAGGATCTGGTGAAGAAGCATTCTGAGTTCATCAGCTACCCTATCTCCTTATGGACTGAGAAGACAACCGAGAAGGAGATTTCTGATGATGAAGACGAGGAAGAGAAGAAGGATGCTGAGGAGGGAAAGGTTGAGGATGTTGATGAGGAGAAGGAAGAGAAAGAGAAGAAAAAGAAGAAGATCAAGGAAGTCTCTCATGAGTGGAACGTGATGAACAAGCAGAAACCTATTTGGTTGAGGAAGCCAGAGGAGATCACCAAGGAAGAGTATGCTGCTTTCTACAAGAGCTTGACAAACGACTGGGAGGAACATCTGGCTGTCAAGCACTTCTCTGTGGAGGGTCAGCTTGAATTCAAGGCCATCCTGTTTGTACCAAAGAGAGCGCCATTTGACCTCTTTGACACCAGGAAGAAGCAAAACAACATCAAGCTGTACGTACGCCGGGTGTTTATCATGGACAACTGTGAGGAGTTGATCCCAGAGTGGCTCAGCTTTGTCAAGGGCATTGTTGATTCTGAAGACCTTCCCCTCAACATCTCACGTGAGATGCTCCAGCAGAACAAGATCCTGAAGGTGATCCGCAAGAACCTTGTGAAGAAGTGCGTGGAGCTCTTCTTTGAGATCGCTGAGAACAAGGAAGACTACAACAAGTTCTACGAGGCCTTCTCCAAGAATCTCAAGCTTGGCATCCATGAGGACTCCACCAACAGGACCAAGATTGCTGAGCTCCTGAGGTATCACTCCACCAAGAGTGGTGATGAGTTGACCAGCCTCAAGGACTACGTAACCCGGATGAAGGAGGGCCAGAGTGAGATCTATTACATCACTGGTGAGAGCAAGAAGGCTGTTGAGAACTCCCCCTTCCTTGAGAAGCTGAAGAAGAAGGGATATGAGGTCCTGTACATGGTTGATGCCATTGATGAGTACGCTGTTGGTCAGCTTAAGGAGTTTGAGGGCAAGAAGCTCGTCTCTGCCACCAAGGAAGGTCTGAAGCTTGATGAGAGTGAGGACGAGAAGAAGCGGCAGGAGGAACTCAAGGAGAAGTTCGAGGGTCTGTGCAAGGTGATCAAGGAGGTGCTCGGTGACAAGGTGGAGAAGGTTGTTGTCTCTGACCGTGTGGTGGACTCTCCCTGCTGTCTAGTCACTGGGGAGTATGGCTGGACTGCTAACATGGAGAGGATCATGAAGGCCCAGGCTCTGAGGGACTCCAGCATGGCCGGCTACATGTCGAGCAAGAAGACCATGGAGATCAACCCGGAGAATTCCATCATGGACGAGCTCCGCAAGCGTGCCGATGCTGACAAGAACGACAAGTCTGTGAAGGACCTGGTGATGCTGCTCTTCGAGACTGCCCTCCTGACCTCCGGCTTCAGCCTTGAGGACCCCAACACCTTCGGCACCAGGATCCACCGGATGCTCAAGCTCGGCCTGAGCATCGACGAGGACGAGTCTGCTGAGGCTGACGCCGACATGCCGCCGCTGGAGGACGACGCCGGCGAGAGCAAGATGGAGGAGGTCGACTAAGCGCCATGGTTGTCATTCGGCCCCCATCTCCTGGAGCCCTAGTTCTCTATAGCTTTATCTGACTCTGTGCTCTTCGCCATTTTTGCTATGCTGGATGTATCGGTATTGCCGTATCTTAGCGCCTGAACATTTCGTGGTATTTGCTCAAACAGTTACGTTTTAAATTTAAATATGCTAGTTAATTAATCCAGAATCTGTATTTTCTTATTCTGCATTAGCCCTTTTATAGTAACTCTTTGTTCTGCATTATCTCCACTTTGTTCTTAGCTTGAATGGGCCTTTTTTTTTCTCTGTTGCCCCCATCTCTTTCAATCGTAGTAGTACATCTATCTTTGATACAATTTTTTTGATATGCTATTTTGAACTGAGCTTCTTGTTGACACCGGATTACTTTTGATTGGCACTGAATAGCTTGTTGTACACTGCTCATGTCTTCTCGACTGATCTAAAATCCTATCACTTAACACATCTGTGAAGGATTCCATGTTATTTGCTTAAGAGAACAAAGCACAAAGCAGCCCAATCTTCTCCTCGCTTTGCCTCTCTGCTTTAATAAAAGCAAAGCATAACGCATTCCTTAACCTGTCAATCTGTCCATCCACACGCAGCCGCTTTACCAACTCTCCCAAGAACACACACAAGACACAAACTGAGATGCTCACCTGTCGCTGCGATCCATTTGCCGCTGCATTTTGATCATGCCGTCTCCAACCTCGTCGGCGTCGGCAGCGGCCAGGGGGAGCGCTGGCGCCGGCGATACCCTACGCAACTCCTGCCACGACTTCGCGCGCAGCCTGGCGCGGCTGCCGGCCAGCATCATGGACGGCCTCTCCAGGTCCATGGCTCGCCGGAGCCGCCGCCCCCGCGACACCCAGCCTCACCCTCCTCTTCCTCCGCCGCTGCTGCCGGAGGAGCTCTTCTTCGCCGAGTTCGAGCGGCGGTACGGCGGCCGCCACCCGTTCTTCTACGGGTGCCGGCTAGCCGAGGCGCTGGGGATCGCGCGGCGGGAGGGGAGGCTGGTGTTCGTCTACCTCCACGACGCCGGCGGCGGCGGAAACCCCTACGCCGACCAGTTCTGCACGGGGACGATGTGCTCCGACGTGGTGGTGGAGTTCCTCGACGCCAATTTCGTGTCGTGGGGCGCCGTCGCCGGGAGAGGGGAAGGTGCGGCCATGGTGGCGGCGCTGCGGCCCGGCAGCTTCCCCTTCTGCGCCGTCGTCTCTCCCGTCTCCGACGAGAGCATCGTCATCCTGCAACAGGTAGTACAAAACCCCATAATATTACAGAAGCAACAGAATCCAAAGCGTTCCCTAAATGTTTGACGCCGTTGATCTTTTTAAACATGTTTGACCGTTCGTCTTATTTAAAAACTTTTATGAAATATGTAAAACTATATGTATACATAAAAGTATATTTAACAATGAATCAAATGGTAGGAAAAGAATTAATAATTGCTTAAATTTTTTGAATAAGACGAACGGTCAAACATATTTAAAAAAGTCAACGGTGTCAAACATTTAGAGATGGAGGGAGTATTTTGCTCCATCGTTTCTTCTTCATCTTATCAGATACAACGAAAATTTGAATTTCAGAACTTAGAGTTTAATTTAGAGTTGATTTTGATGTTTCTTTTATTTGGTTTAATTTTTCAGCATTGACTTATAAATATTTAAATCGCAAATAAAAATTTGCCCACAAACTATTTTTTGTCGTTAATAAACATCACAGCTTATAATCAAGTATCGTCTCTAGTGGTTTCATCCATAACCATCATAACTGAGCGAAAACCAGTGAAATCGAATTCTTTTGCGCCAAAATTTTGAATTTTAGGATTTTTTTTAATTTGGCCGGTTTATCGAACGGTTTCTAAATGCAGACCAGCAAGACAAGGCCAACGAAACCGTGATAACTGAGCGGTTATCGTCGCATTTTGAAACGCTAAAGCAAGTAGCAACAATACTAACAATTATGTCAACCTATTTGCACACTAAACTCTACAGCATATTGGTTGCATCGATCTATCTTGGCATTTTAAGTTTTTGTATTGATTAAGAGATGACACAAACTGTATCTTCTTTCAGGTAGAAGGCCCGGTTTCGCCTTCAGAGCTGGTGGACATTCTTCAGAGAACAATCGATGAGCAACGTGCATCCTCCAGACAGTCTTGGCCTGATGAGCAGCTAGCTGCAGCAGTGAGAGCCTCAAGAGCTGATGAAGAAGAGAGGATGAGATCAGTAGCTCTAAGGCTAAGACAGGAGCAAGATGCAGCTTATCTCGAATCACTTCGAAAGGATCAGGTAGACACATGCATGTTCATCATGTTGAGGTGGTGTTCTTCATCATCAGTTCATGCCCTGTTGATCAGGGTGAGCTCACTGACTCCATTGATGCAGGAGAAAGAAAGGTCCAGGAAGAGTGTTCAGGAGGGATCTGCGAAACCAAAGGCGAGCAATGTGCTTCGTCCAAGATACCCTGGTCAATCTGCAAGGGAGCCTAACAAGGCAGCTCAGGCCAGAGCTCCTGCTCAGAATCAGAATGGAACTGTGGCTTCACACAGAGCAGAAGCAAATACCAAGGTATGACCAAAAAAAAAGGATTATCTCTTGTCCTCGTGTACAGATGTACAGTGCATTTGTAACTGCTAGCAGCAATATTTGGGAAAAAAAAGTTAATTACTTAACATGAAAATTTCTGGGGTTTAGTTATTCAGTTGACAAGTGTTCAGATCATGCATTCAGGTTTTTCTGATGTCTGAACTCCGGTTACAGTGATAAAAATATCAAGTGTTAATGTGTTATCCATCTACTAGTATCATTGTGCAAAGGATTTTTATGGGAACTTTGGTGCAGAACTTTTTATGGGAACATCCCTGAGTTAAGACCAGATTAATTGTAGAACTTTTTATGCAGATAATGATAAGATTTCCCAATGGAGAGAGAAGGCAGCAGGCGTTCCATCATACAGATACCATCAGGGAAATCTACAGGTATGTTGATTCCCTAGGCATACCAGGCATCGGAAATTATCAGCTCGTGAGAAGCTATCCAAGGAAAACTTATGGTCGCCAGCAGCTGGAGATGAGTCTCCAAGATGCAGGCTTCTATCCAAGTGTAACACTGTACATTGAACAGCTTCAGTAAACATGCTGTAACCATGAAGATGACTGCAAATTTCGTGTAACAAATTACGTACAAACATCTGCATATGTGCATGTGTTTCTGCATTCAACTCTACTGAATGCGTACTGCCACTTTGCATACATCGAAACAAGTTACAGTATGTTGCAAAGGAAAAGCCACAGGCCTGAAACTTCAAAGTTCAGAGCATGATGTTACATGTTGGGAAACTTCAAAGTTCAAAACAACCCTCCATTTCCTGGGCTGCATATGAACCGTCCGATTGTATATAAGTGGCTTCAGATCAGCGTAGTAGTTGTAAGGGTATCCTCAATGATTATTGCAAAAGTACTCCAAGAAGTAAAGTGAACCGTGCCAAATAGTAATAGTAGATTGAAGATACACCATACTACATATATGCGAAGAATGGGTAATAAGGTGAGACTATCTAAAAAAAAAAAGAAAAGCCAAACATAAGTCATACCACAATTAAAAAGTATGTAGGACTCACTACAAAATGCTTACTACTATCTCCGTTTTAGGTTATAAGACTTTCTAACATTGCCCACATTCATATAGATGTTAATGATTCTAGGCACACATATATGTCTAAATTGATTAACATATATATGAATGTGAGTAATGCTAGAAAGTCTTATAATATGAAACGGAAGAAGTATAATTTAGTAATAAGCCTATGATTTGATAGTAGTTAAGAGTATTTACTATTTCCTTAATTTATCTTAGCTACTAGCGATACTTTAATCCCTAACTTTGTAAATACTTTTTCAATACATTGTGGATGACTGGTAACTATATTGAGGAAATAGTAAATACATTGAGGATGAAAAAGTAAATACTATTTTCTCAAGTTACCGGTATCCATTATTTGGATGACCGGTAACTTTGTAGAAAACACCCTAACACAAAATCGTATGTTCAAAATAGCCCCCGGCTAGCCGACCGCTAGTCCGCTACCACTGCGCGATCCGACCGTCGAATTTGAGGTCGACATTTTCCGCCAATAAAACCGCACATTACCTTCAGAACAGATAAGGCGCCCCACCCGTCAGTCTCACGGTTTCTGCTTTCCACATCCGCCGCGGCCATGGCGCTCGTCACCGTCCACGCGCGCCTCGCCGCCGCCGCCTCCTCCGCCTCGCCGCCGCTTCGCTCCGCCGCCTCCTGCACCCGCCTCCGTGCCCTCAGTACAGTCACCGGAACCCGCCTCAGCATTCGGCACCAACAGCGCCGGCGCTGGCGGCGGCCGAGGCGCGCCGCCGCCATCGCCGCGTCGCTCGACCTCAACGAGGACAACGTCCGCCTCGCCATCGACGAAGCCAAGGCCGAGGCAAGCTTGAGTCCTCCCCTCCTCTTCTTCTTCCCTCGCCTCGTCCCCAATTGGAATTTGGAACGCCATTGTTGCTGATTTTCTGAATCTTTGCGCGAATTCGCCTCTGCTCCTGCTCTCTCAGCTGGGTCAGCTGTTCGACACATCGGTGGGAATCACAGGTGAAACCCAATCGTCCAAACCTGCGTTGCTTGCGATGAACACGGATCAAGAATCCGGGAGTAATCTGCGTTGCTGTTGATGATGGCAGGGCAAGTTGATCTCGCGGAGCTGGACGGGCCGTTCGTGAAGCTCCGGCTCAAGGGCAAGTTCTGGCACACCCGCGCCACCGTGCTCGCGCGGATCGGCAACTACCTCAAGAACCGCATCCCGGTGAGCATGCTTTGGAGTATAAAGTGAATTGACTGTTTTTCCTCGTCAGTTTAAGCTTTTGGGTTGAACTGGTCGGTGCATATGCAACTCAATACTGTTGCATCTTTCTCACTTCTGTCATGTTCTTGGCTCCTGCTTGCGTGTGGAGCTGGAGAAAGTTTTGTATTTTGGACTTGTTAAGAATGTTAGGTTAGTGATTTAGTGAGTGAGAACTGAGAAGTGATTATTGATTTATTGTTTGGGCAGGAAATCTTGGAAGTGGAGATAGAAGATGAGAAGCAGCTTGATGATAGCCCTGCAGCCTTCTGAGGTAACCACCATACATGAATACTGTAGCTGCTGACTCTCTCAGTAGTTAAATCTTGTCATGCAGTAAAATTTGAAATCTTACAAATTTCAGGTCTAGAAAAGTTGTGGTGAAAACTGAAAGCACATTTAAATCTTCCGTTTTATTCACTATGCACATTTTACTTACTGCTCTCTCCAATCCAAAATACAAGCATTTCCAGGTCTTTAGCAAAAACCAAGGTAGAGTGAAAGAAAAAAAAATCTCTTTCAGTAACTTCAATGGTTAAATTTTGAATTGGTTCTTCTTGCCTTCTTTCAATAAATAAATAAATTTTGAACTCCCTTCCCAAAAATCACATTGGTTGAAAATTTATAGATTTCCGTGCATTGGAATAAGTGCGGAAGTGCCTCAGAAATGTTTATATTGTGGTATAAATCTTGAATCGTAGATGCACTTATATTTTGAAACAGAGGCACTAGTTAGTATGGCAGTATCATTCATGACGATACGAACTACCTGTTCAGCCGGTTGTCACTGTGGGCATAACATAGCTGTATATTGCAGTGGCATTCACCAGTCAATGGCTCCCTCCAATGCACATTGCACAAACCTGAATTTCTGAAGTTAAGCTGAAGAACCAAGTCTGCTGGAATGCACTATCCTACATTCCTACCTTACTTTTCTGGTCAACATCGCACAAATTCAGGGATCTCCAATTCCCCTACATTTTGATTGTGGAGATGCGTATGATTTGAGACTATTCTATTTTACTAGCACTCACGAGTCGCAAGAACCTGAAAACTGTACTGACGGGACCTACTTACGGAGAGGTTTATTAGACGCTTTTCCTGATTCTGAGCTTGTTGGTATCACCTTTATGTGTATTTATTTAAAAAAAGGGTGTAGCAATGATGTGCTGCTATTCTGAGTACTATATTTGTGTTCACTCTTTCGAATGATGTTTACTCCATCCGTCCCAAAATATAGCAACCTTGAACTGGATGGAACACATTCTAGTACAACGAATCTGGACAGGGGTATGTTACATTTGAAATACCACTGCATCAGTGTGCTCCTGTGGACAGTACTCTGGTAGAGGTATAAGTTGGCTGCTCGTTCACGAAATGTACTGGTCATCCATCCAATGAGCGTCATGGTAATTCAAATTCTTCAATTTGAAATTCTGATATCCTGATTTTCTCAGTTCTTACCCATTTGAGTCATATTTTTTATGTTTTGTGAACTCATTAAATAGGGTTCTTGGAATGTTGTGGCAACGCAGCTGTGGCCATTTCAGTGCTCTTGTCAATCTGTCAAATGTTTGGGCAGCAATGAACTAGGAGTATCTGAAGAGAAAGCAGTTTGCAACCCTAGGCTCTAGCTCCGTGGAACAAACCATTTCGACAATCTTGTACTGAAATGTACTGAAATCAAATACTACTATATTCGCTCTTTTCCTTTGAGAAAAAGTTGTTTGAGGCCACTTCTGGTTCCTACTCCGATGTACTTATTGGATGGTGCAATTGATGATGCTGGAAACTGTTGCTTTCAAATTACAGGGAGAAGTTGGGCTTGTCTATCAGAGTAGGTACAATAGCAGGCTATAAGCCAGCTGCAAATATATTTTAAGGAGATAAATCAGGAGAGAGAAGAGCAGCGGGTTACAGATTTGTAGCCAGCTGTAGCACGGACTCCAAGACGCTATAACAGGTGGGACTAGGTATTAATAGTGTAGTATGTAACTATTGTATGAATGAGCTATTAAATTGGATATAGATAAATTGGAGCTAGTAGTTGGCTATACTATTAAACTTGCTCTCATGTTTCAGACCAGAAAAAGGTGAGTATTTCATCATAAAAAGGGACGTATTTGACGAAGCATGTCAGTGCCTAATCCTCAGTAGAGTGGAGTACTAGCAAGAAACAAGAATTCCGAAAGAATTTTGCACGGAAGCTCTATCCAAATGTCCCTTCATCCATCAACGTATTGGACTGATTTTTTTCAGCGAATCAACTCGTTGCTAGTATCTCTGAGTCTCTCTTGATGAACGTCATTTTTACTAGGAAAATCTATTAATGCTAGAGAAAAACGATAGCTCCAAGAATTTCTTTGTTCTCAACGCCTCCTATTTAGAGGAAATAGCAACCGCGATTGTCAGTGTGCTCGTGACTAAAAAAGTGCGAACCAATAAAGCAACAAACCTTTATACGAGTACTCACTCTGTCTCCGAATATAAGGGATTTCTTTTTTTTTCGAGAAACTTGCTAAGAATGAAGATAGAATACTATAATGCCTCTCGCTGTGTGGTGAGTGAAAAGTTGGATGGGGTAAGGCTGGAAGAAAATTAGAAAATAGATAAATGATTGGGCCAATAGTACTCCAAGTCCCTTATACTTGGAGACAAATTTAAGGGCCCATTTGAATCGTAGGAATAAAAAAAAAGGAATAGAAAAAAAAAACAAGATTTTGATAGGAATGTAAATATAAAATAGAGGACTGCAAAACATAAGAATAACCGTTTAATTGGATCGCAGGAATCGGTTGAGAGAAATAGACTCGAAGAAAAATTTTCAAGAGGTTGAAACTCTTTCTAAATTTCCTCCATAATCTTTATAAGATTGTCCATTCTATAGGATTTTCAAAGGATAGGATGGGATGGGATTCGATCCTCTGTTTTAAAGGCATCAATAGGTTTTTTTTCTATAAGATTGAAATCCTTCAAAGTTACTATGTTTTTCTCCAAATCAAATGGTCCCTAATGTTTATATCCCTTATATTTGAGGATGCAGAGACTAGTATTCCATTTCTAAGTACTTGTCACAAAGTTACTGCTAGTATAACAACTCGGGTTACTCCTATTTACTAATACTACTCCTAGTTGAGAAACTGCCCGAAATAAAAAAGACGGATCATGCATGATACTCCTATCTTAAAAAAAAAATACTCCCTCCGTCCTATAATACTATAAGAGCAGGTACAATAGCAGGCTATAAGCCAGCTGCAAACATATTTTAAGGAGATAAATCAGGAGAGAGAAGAGCAGCGGGCTACAGATTTGTAGCCAGCTGTAGCACGGACTCCAAGACGCTGTGTGTCTATGACAGGTGGGACTAGGTATTAATAGTGTAGTATGTAACTATTGTATGAATGAGCTATTAAATTGGCTATAGATGAATTGGAGCTAGTATTTGGCTATACTATTGAACTTGCTCTAAGGGATTTTGGAGGTATATGACCGTCTAAATTCATTGTCCTAAGATATATCACGTCCGTCCAAAATCCCTTATATTATGGGTCGGAGAGAGTACTCCTATCTGAAGAGACTGAGATACTCCTGGACTCTGAATTCCAGCATCCAATGAGCAAGGACTTAAACTGAGACAGACAGCCACCAAACACCAAACTGAAAATCCCCAGCTGCTCAGTGTCAGATCATCATGTGACTGAACAAACACAGGAAGTACTATTCTCTTCCAACTCTCCAGAAATGTCCTGCAACCCTGACAAGACAAATGCACTGCAAGTAATACTCCTAGTAGTACTACATGTACTCATAGTACTAATGGCGAGTTTAGTTCTAAACTTTTTCTTCAAACTTTTAATTTTTCTATCACATCAAAACTTTACTACACATAAACTTCTAACTTTTTCATCACATTATTCCAATTTCAACCAAACTTTTAATTTTGGTGTGAACTAAACACACCCTAATAGTAGTAATAATCAGCTCAGGACCTTGCAGATTCTTCGTTGCAAAGTCCAAACCGCCATGATCAATCGCTCTTTGGGATCATCCATTGTGCAATGCACCTCACCTTTCATGTCAATCGCACTGTTCGTCAGAATGTTACTGCAATGGTGGTCCTCCTATGATCCTATCAGTTCGCCACTGGTAGTTAGGGCATGATTCAGTATACAGTTCTACAGCGATGTGTTTGGGCTAATGGCTAATCATTTGGGTGGTGGTCTCTGCTCAAAGAAAGAATCTTTGATTAATCTTACTACTACAGTATTACTAGTTGCTTCCAAATTGTGCTTTCTTTCTGTATTTATTTTTTCTTTTGGGAATTGGGATTGCAAACCCAACCACATCATTGAGCCGGATTAATTCTTGATTTTCTTTTGCATGGAAAGCAGCAAAGAGGAGAGTGCACTGGTCGCCCTGCTCCTCAGGTTGCTTCTGAATAATCAGGGTCAATTAGTTATTCTAATCTCAATCTGTCGGCCAGATTAGCGAGGATCTGGTTCCATGTCAGGCCAAAAGGAAGGGAATAATTAATCAATCAGGAAGCTGGAGGAGGAAGACGACGACGAGGAGGCGTTGGTCTTTCCATGGATGGAGTAGCTAGGTTGAAGAACTACGCAAGCAATTATACGAGGAGATTAACAATGCAAAGAGGGGATGCAAATTGCAGATTTCTTTGCAAATATCTAACACACTTTCATGTGATCCCACGTGAGGCAATCTTAAGATCAGAAGAACAGCAGTAGCAGCAACTAGCAGCTTGTTTTACGTGCGCAGAATCCGCGTTGTTCATCTCGCATCTTGACCATGTCCAGTTTCTTTCCTCTTGCTCTGAATTTTCAGCTTCTTTTCGTCGCATTTTTTTTTCTTGTTTGAAATGAAACGTTTTGTGTCGTTTTCAGCAGGTATCGGAGTGTTTGGTGACCTAGGATTTGTTCATGATGAGCTAAAATTAACTCCAGTCGCTTGCACCATGTGTGTGGCAGCTAATTGGACCGACCAAATTAAGGAGACCTTTTAACCGTAAATCAATATTCAGTCGGCGTCAATCCATCGCATTCACATCAGATTAGCCTCCTCCGGTGTTCATGTGACTTGTACAAGACAAATACTATACTTATCATTTCACTAAACTGTGATATTCATGCAATCATATATAGTTAGATCACTAACCGTGTGGCAATTATTTTTATGGTTCCTGATTAAACTAGCTGATCAGCTAGAAGTTTCTTCTCCTTTGCTGCGTAATATTCAGTAACGTGTTTTCTCTTCCTAGGATCCCTATCTGATGGTACAATCTGTTGTATATCTCTTCCTGGGATCCATCAATTGGTAGCTCCAAGGAAGATCAGACGTAGATTACAAGGCCAATGATCCATTCGGATTTTAATTTAGTTTATATTTAATTAGTTGCTGTTCTTGATCGACCCCTGGATTCTGGATCCTGGTATGGGCAAATCTCTGTTGGTTTGTGCAGAGATACGCGTCAGATGGAAGGGAATTCTCAGCTCCAACATCCAACTGTCCTCAAGACTCCTCCATGGTTGGCGCCAAAAAATAAGTGTTGATCGATCCAGCTTGCTGTCTTCGGAGAAGCTTAATTTGGACGAATGCAACATGCAGAATTGCCATCCATTGCATGCATGCAGAATTTGGACCACTGTTTCAGAGTCTTGTAGTATAGTTGTCTTTGTGCGGATTTCTCCTTTTGCTTCTCGGCCTTTGTCTGAGTTGCATGTTTCTCTCCAAGGGTAGGCTCTGAATTGAACGGGAAATTTTACGGTCCTTCAGAGTTATCTAGAGGTATCAAAAAAATTTTAGTGTAAATCAAGTACAAGAGGAATGGAGAGGTACCAAATTTTGCAATAAGAAACATGTTACCTACCATTATCTCCTTAAGAACCGTAAAATCGCTCAAACTGAATATAGTTACACAAATCTCTCTAAGAATTCAATCATGAAAAATTAAAAAGTTTGGATGAAATTGGATTCAGTTAAGTGGAGCTGATCATGTTTTAGGATTGGTTAGGTCCCTTTCTTATTGAATGTTACAATTTTCTTCATTTTTTTTTTGGAGAATAGAAAATAAACTCTGAATGCTGGTAGTGACGATGGGAGTGACGAATCCAGTGAGAACAATTGGTGTCATGGGAGATATTCTCTGTCTCTCTCAAATTTGGTACACACAAGCTTTGGGTTTGTTCCATTGATTCAGCTTCACCTGAGGATGCTTGGGAATTATAGTACATTTTTCTAAAAGAAAATTCTCTATGAGCTGTAAGCTCTGCACGGAGAGTTTTAGTTAGGATTTTCAGGAATTGGTGCAGTTTGTTTATCCCTGCAAAGTTCCCTCTCCAGATCCAAGGAAGCTTAAACAACATTTCAATTTTTTTTCTTAACAAAATGTTTGTTTAGAATAGCATTTCCTACCAGCAAAAGAAATTGAGAGCCAACCTTCCAATGTTAGGAGCAAGTCATAAGTCCTAACATATTCTATTTGCTACCAAATCATGAAACCCAACTTTAACCTTTTCTTTTCTTCCCCAAAATATGACACTGGAACTCCTACTTGGAAAAAAAAAAGGTGCCCATTCACCAAAAATGCACTCATGCCAAGTGGCATATTTTCCATGACAAGAGAAAGGCATGGACCCAAAGAGGCCCTTTTCTGGCCTAATTTGTTGAAACTTCTGGCAGAATCAGAAAAGTTCCATTTTCAGTTGGACATAAGACATTATCTGAATTCTGAAAATGACCTCCACACCCACAAATCTACAGACTTCAAATGGGCATATCTAGATGATTGAGCTGATATTGGATGACACATGTTGGCATCTCAATGTAATTTTTTTTGTGTACATCATGGATAATTCACAGAAGCACAGTCGACATCATAATTATTTTTCCTACAGTCAAACTTTCCATGCTCATGTTAATTTGGATGGCTCATAAAAAAAAATATTTGGCTTACAGTTTCTGACGGTTTTGATTAATGCAAGGTGATGGTACCGAAGTAATACCCCCCCCCCCCCGGGTTTCCAAATATTTTTCCGTACTGACTATTATTGTTTTGACTTTAACCGTCAAAATTCTTAATTTGACAGATAATTGTGTAATGACTTAAAAATTATTTGTCCATATTGTTTAAGGTGCGTCCATCACATAAATGATCCGTTTTACTGTTCATATTTTTTTTGTAGCATTGTGCTTGGTTATTGCAGAAAATGCATATTGTTTTCATTTTTCAATGGCTTTCTGTCATTTCCTATTCTACTAGCATCTATCTAGATCATCACATGACAAGTAGAATTTTATTAGTCAAACTCTTTCTGAATGGTTGACCATTTACACATCGGAGATTGAAAATTGAACCTAGCACAGTTGGTAGGAAATATGGTGTGCACACCTACCATGGTAGTTTAAATTCTTTAGCTCAATTTAGATTTCTATTTCTTCTCACTTAAAAATGGCATCAAGCTCCTTTTTAATACCTACTTCTATCGTATTACGAATAAAGAGTGAAAAAGAGCCACCACGTTTCCTCGGTGTAGAAATTATCATGACATACACTATTTTGATCGCGAGATATGACATGCATGACGGTGTGGATTGACTGATACAAAACAAAACTATATTTATGAATAATGTATATCAAAATGAGATTCTATTTTTAAAATCTAGCTACATACATGGTTGCGTGGGAAAATCCATTAATTCTCATGCATTAACACACTAGATAAAAAAAGTATATCCAATAACTTTGTCTTTACCCCTTTAAACGTTCCCAGTGGTGATGGCGGTGAGTCTACCTCACCACCATCAACTGATGATTGGGCCCCACAATGTCAGTAATAAAAGGTAATCCAATAACTTTATTACTAGTATAATTCGATAAAACCTTGATGTATATCTCACTCTTCTCACTATGCAACATACACTACTACACAACGAAAGAAGCAATTCAAGTTTATAGAAGCCGAAACGACAGTCAAATATAAATATCCATTAATATTATTAAATTTTAGCTCTATATAAAATTGCATGGGAAGTCGCCCTATCTCATAAGATAACACACCGACGAAAAAAAAAGTTAACCAAAATAAATACTTGCATGCAGGGTATAATGCAATAAATGACCATAAATAAATCTCGATATGCAATATACAATGGCCTCCTAAGAGCAAGTTTAATAGTATAGCTAACTACTAACTCTAAATCACTTATAGTAAACTTAATAGCCAATTCATACAATAGTTACCTATAAAAATATATTACACTATTAATATATGGTCCCACATGTCATACATACATTATGCCTTGGAGTTCGTGGTACAGTTGGCTACAAATCTGTAGCCCGCTGCTCCTTTGTCTTCTCTTTTTATCTCCTCAATATGTGTTTATAGCTGGCTTACATTATGCTATTGTACCTGCTCTAAGCAGCTTATGTAAGTAAAGCGATAAACATTTATAAATACCCGGCTCTAATTTAAATCCTAACTCCACGTAAAATTGCGCGGGAAATTAAGTAGTAATTTCTCACAAGACATAAGAAAATAATAGCATATGATATATAGGGCTGGATGGAAAGTTGGTGACTCTTAGCTCAGTCGGCTCGTTATGTTTCTGAAACGAGCCAAGCTGCTATTTTAGCTGTTTGACATAACGAGCTAGGCTGATACACTCATACACACGAGTCCCAGACTGTCAGTAAGCAAAGATACAGGAGCAAAAGAAAACGTCTGATGAATGGTCCATAGGAAGAGAGGAGAGGAGAGGAGCGAGGAGGAGGCTGTATCCAGTAGAGGACAGCTTTTGCCATTTAGAGCCCATCACTGCCAACAAAATCCTTCCCTTCAGCTTCTCTTCTAGTCTTCTCTTCACCTTCTTCTCATCCTCTTCTTCTCCTCCTCGGTCAAACCGCCTTTTCTTCTCTCCCCTATCCTCCGCTCCGAGGGAGAAAAAAAACAAAGAAAGAAAGAAAGAAAGAAAAAGAGTACTAGTAGCACCCGGAGAGTGGAGGAAAGGGAGTAGGCGGAGCCAAATCTCGTTTCTCTTTAGTTGTTGTTAGTACCCTTAGTGGAAGAATCTCTCCCCTTTTCTTGTGTTTCTTGGGTTTTGAAGTTTTTTGTTGTTGGGAGGTATGAGGAATGAAGGCCTAACCTGAGGCAAGATCTTCGTTTTCCTTCATTTGTGGGGGTGTTTGTTGGTGGAAACGGATCAAGAAAAGCCGGAATTTCGGTTCTGAAATCGTCGGTTTTGATATCGGTTTCTCTCTGTTGATTGGAGAGAGAGGGAGAGAGCAAACGCATGATCTGTGTCTGATTCTGACGGGCCTTGTCGCGGTCCGTATCAGTTCATCCATCCCAACTTGCTGTTCGTTTTGTGTGGTGGTGTTTCGCTTTTTTGGGAAGAGAGGAGAGGAAGCAATCATTCGGCGGCGACGGCCCCGCCCACTTGAGGTACCAGTTGGAAATTTCCCCCCTTTTCTTTGTGCTTTTGTTTTTGCTGGTTTGTGCTTATCTCTTACTACTTGAGGTACATCTTTTTGACCAGGTTTTTTTTTGTGGTAACGGCGATTTTTGGGGATAAAGTTTGCATCTTAGGTCGGGATTTTTTCTTGTTTCAGTGGTGGAATGTCTCCATTTTGAGCGAAATTGCGTCTTTTGTGGGTTCATGTTTGGGGATTTGGGGGAAATCGTGCGGCCTGGTTTGCTGTGGTGGGGAATTTTTTTCTTGTTTCAGTTGATTGGTTTCTCCATTTCATATCAAACCGTGTCTTTTGAGTTTCTCGTGCATATATGGAGAGGATATCCATGGTTATCTAGAAAAAAAATGCAAAGTTTTCAACTTGCTCTGTAATGGACTCTTCCAACGTTTTGCATTCATTTCTTGAGCTCCTCACCTTGGTTTTCTTCATTATTGTGTTCAAACCTACTCTGATCTTGGTTCTGAACTTCTGATGTTTGTCTGGTTACTGGTCATGTAGGATTGATGGCTTTGTGGTCTGGTCTCTTGCTAACTTCTTGTGCTTCTGTGATTCTGATAAGCTTTTCTTCGTGTTTTGTGTAGAGATAACAGTTTTTTTCTCTTATCAATTATGCTATGAGATATTCCATGTTTAATCAGGACTAACTAATGCTGTATTACCTGATACTCGTTTCAGTTAAACTTGATTGCTCTGTCGCATGGCCAGCAGTAGCGACCATGGATCCCTCATGGAGGACTGGATGCCACCACCCACACCCAGCCCGAGAACACTCATGTCAAGCTTCTTGAATGAAGATTTTGTCTCTGGTTCATTTTCCAATATTTTCAGTGATCATGAGAGCAACAAACCCCAGGATCAGTTTGAGAGAAACAGAGAGCTTGTGGATTTGAGTAAGGAAGTGCCTTCCCAATTCGCAAGACCCGCATTCCAGAGGGATGCTTCCCTGGATCATAGCTTGGTCAGTCCTACACAGAGATCAAACTCGCATGGTGGTTTGGCAGAGCGCAGGGCTGCGAGGGCTGGTTTCAGTGTCCCGAAAATCGATACATCCCGTGGTGGTTCATCCACAGTAATTCGATCGCCCGTGGCAATTCCACCAGGTCTTAGTCCAACAACACTTCTCGAGTCACCGGTTTTCCTTTACAACGCAATGGTATGTCATGTTTCCACAATTTGTTTGTTTATGCATTATGCCCCGATAGGATGTCTCTAGCAAGGTTGTGATAAGCCATAGTTAGAGTTACTGAGTTAGTATCAAAGACTTGCAGGTTGCAATTACCAGGCATATGAGTTTTTCTTATTTATTTATTAACGAACAGACCATGGGGTTTGGCAGTAAAGAGGACATTGATTGATGTATATTATGTAGAACATGATTGTGGGCAGTATCAAAGCTTGTAAATACAGTAAGTACTGAATGATGCTTACTGTTAGGAACACTACTAGAAATGATTTTATGACATCTTACAATTTTAGACATTTGTCTTGTGATTTATTATGCATAAGTTATTTTTTAATTCATAACTTAACAAATATGTTTGTGCACTTCTGTTGCGATATTTGCTATACAGGCACAGCCTTCTCCAACCACTGGCACACTGCCATTTTTGATGGCTTCAAATGCTAAGTCAACAATACCGTCAGCTACCAAGATGGACGAAGATTGCACATTTGGCAATGACACTTTCTCCTTCCAACCGCATGTAGGGTCGAGACGGCCAAATTTCTCCGCTGCAGAAAAGGTGATTCTTTGACTGTCGGTCTCCATTTCAGTTTTCCTTCCAGTATTATGTAATATTCCTTCCAGTATTATGTAATATTGTCTCTGTTCTTTTATTGCAAACTTCACCGCCAAAATGACCCACCTCATTCCTTTTAATCCTTTTGTGTTTATTGTACAGGGTCCCAATGCTTGTCACCAAAACCAATCGCTGTCGAATATCCATCAGCGGGAATCCAGTCTTCAGTCAAGCTTTACTGCAGTCAAAGATATCACTGATGAAAAAAACATTAAAACAAAGACATCTGACTCCATGTTTGGTGATAACCACTCTTCTGATGAACAAGATGATGAGACTAACCAAAATGGAGAAAACTCTATGCCACCTCCGAACCACCGTTCAGGTGTCCCTCTGTCACATACCAATGATCCAGAAGTGAATGTCCTAGAGAACCGCGGTTCACAGACATGCCATAACTCTGCATCCTTGTGGGACAATGCCAAAAATGATTGCCTTCAAGATGTTCAAAGTGAAGTTATTGAAACAAGAACAGCTGCTTGTCTTCCAGTATCAACCAATTGTGATACATCTATCATGGAGTCCCAAGATGCAGTTGATGTGTCGTCAACACTATCTAATGAGGAGGATGATAGGGCAACGCATGGCACGGCTTCTATAGAGTGCAACGGGGATGGAGATGAGACTGATTCCAAGAGAAGGTTAATGCCATCTACCACTTAATTACTTAATGTAGGCATGAATGCATGATAATTCACTGATGGATCTGGTTCTTTTTCAGGAAGCTGGATGCTTTGACAGCTGCAACTGCTGCTATTACCACCACCAGTAACATTGACATGGGAGCTGCGGCATCGAGAGGTGTCCGGGAGCCTCGTGTTGTTGTTCAGACAACAAGTGAGGTTGACATCCTTGATGACGGTTACCGCTGGCGCAAGTATGGACAGAAGGTTGTTAAAGGAAATCCAAACCCAAGGTCAGTTTAGTGTCACTGCATTTCTTGCAGTAATTGATCATGCGGCATGCATCCTTTGATTAATGTTTGATATTCTTGGTACCATCCTGAGATGAGTAACATTATTTCATTTGTCTGCAGGAGCTATTACAAATGTACGCACCAAGGGTGTTCGGTGCGCAAGCACGTGGAGAGAGCATCGCATGATCTAAAATCCGTCATCACGACGTACGAGGGGAAGCACAACCATGAAGTTCCAGCTGCCAGAAATAGTGGACATGGGAGCTCTGGATCTGGAAACGCTCCATCTGCACCGCAATCTAACGGCTCTCAGCGCAGGCAAGAACAAGGGCAAGCCAGCTTCAGCCAGTTTGGTGGCGCGGCTCCCTTCAGCTCCTTCGTTCTCCCACCAAGAAACCAATTTGGACCATCGGCGAGCAATTTCCCCTTTGGGATGGTCCCGCCAGGCATGGCGATTCCCATGCCATCTCTAGGGTCTCTTGCTCCAGCAAAGATGGCTGGTCATCCATCCACCATGCAGGGCTACCAGGGGCTCATGATTCCGGAAGGAGAGATGAAGACAGAGCCCATGTCGCAGCTCGGCTTCCCCGCGGTAAACCAATCTTCATCATCCTTCCAACAGATGATGAACAGGCCTCCATCATTTGGACCTCAGATGTAAATAATAATATTAAAGAAAGAAAAGAAAATGATAGATGTGCTTCAGCTTCTATACATGGTAGCAATGCTACAACATAGCTTTGTTGTTCTAGCTTTTACCTGTTATTTTTTCTTTGGGCTTTTATTTTTTGGAAGCAAAGAATGCAGAAGATGTTACCCGTTTTGTTTATGTTGTAATTGGAAAAAAAAGGTGGTGGTAGTGTTCAGGACAAAAGGCAAAATCATTCAATTGGAAGTGCTGATGGTGAAAAAAGAAAACCATTTCTGTTGTGTGAAATGCATGCGTTCTCCACTCTCTGAACATCACAGATTCTGAGCTCAGTGGTTGCAGCTTGTAATCTACTAACCTGGCTTCAGGTTGCAATGCCAAATCAAAAATCTCTGAATTTTCGAAAAAATCTCTACTCCATCCGTCTGTGAATTATTTTTTTGAAGCAATTTTGCATGGGTTTGTAAGACCAGCTGTGACTCTGATCCGATTCCATGAATTTTCAAAAAAATCATTACTCCATCTATCCGTCCTAAAATAAATACAGTTTTGTATGGTTCATGTCCAACTTTGACCGTTCGTTTTATTTAAAAAATTTTAATGATTAGTATTTTATTGTTATTATATGATAAAACATGAATAATAATTTATATGTGACTAACTTTTTTTAAGATTTTTCAAAAAACTTTTAAACTTTTTTTAAACGTTGGATATGGATTCCCACAGCTACTTATTTTGGAATGGATGGAGTATTTTTTTTGGTGGAACATTCTGAAGCCTGAAGATTGCTGCATGCGTTGTCTTGTGTCCATGGAGAGCAGAGAACGAGCTAGTAGGTCGGGGGTCTGGTCACCGAGCCTTCGAAGACGACGACCTCGTCGCCGGCGGCCACGCCGTGCCACTCGAACGACCGGGACTCGTCCATCACGCTCTGCCGGTGGATGAAGAAGTAGGCGCCGTCGCGCGGCAGCGGGAACGCCCGCTCCTCCAGCTCCCGCCGCAGCGCCGCCACCGCGCGCCGCGCGCCCACCGCGACCTCCGCCCGCCCCCGCCCGCACCGCGACACCACGTTCACGCGCACCGCCGCCGCGCCGCCGCCGTCGTCCCGCCTCTTGCTCCTGCCCTTGTGTTCGTTCTGCTGCAGCTGCTGCTGCCTGCCGGCGACGCCGACGCCGAGCTCGACGTGGATGACGGAGCCCTCCACGATGCCGTACCGCTCTGCACCGCCGCCGGCGGCCTCGCCGCCGCCAGCGTCCGCCAGCGCGTCGCCGTTGTGGAACAGCGACACCGCGGCGGCGGGCCACCCCCTGCGGCTCTGGAGCTTCTGCTTGATGTCATGGACGGTGTCGAAGAAGCCCACCTCCATCTTGAAGCTCTCCTCCCCCGCGCACACGAAGGTCACATCCATGGCGAGTAGCTAAGGCAGTGCAACTCTGCAAGTGCAGCAATGGCGGCGCCCAGCTTGGACATGGACATGGACATGGCAGCGCGTATATATCTCACAGCTTGGCCATTCCGCCATTGTCCTTGACTCCTCACACGAAATGGCATGGACGAACACGCCATTCTTCGCAGATGTACTCGGCGAGGAAGAAGCATCGCATGAGCAAATTGTGATGGAACACAGAGAATTCAGGGAAGCCGAAGGTGAAGAAACCGGCCTCTTCGGAAAATCAGCTTTTGCTGCTCTGAAAGCCGCCACAATTGAAATCTGCTACCTGCCTCTGAAGGCGGCATCTCGGAATACGCCTTCTTGGACGGACAGTGCAAGAAGAGATTTGTGATGTTGCTTGATTAGGGGGAGATGACTTCAGTTCTTGTTTGATTATTTTTCAGACATTTGAAAAAAAAATATAATCCTCGGACAATTTGGCATTTCTGTGTACTCTCAGATGCAATTTGCTTTGTGCTGAGAAGTCAGATGTGCCTAGCACTAGAAAGATTCATTCCTTCAAAAGAAGAAAATTCAGTTCATCAGTCGAGGTGCAAGGTTGCAATGATTCGGAAGAAAGCACCATCATAAGCAACGATTGTTTATGCTTTTCTTTCAGTCAAAGCATCATTATTCAGTCAAAGAATGTACCATTAGTGAATGTCACACAGGAAAAAGATCGGCTGGAGGACTCAACAGCAACAACCACACATTCAAGGAAATACAGATGCTTGCTGAATGCTGAATATGCTGCACTGCTGTCATTTTCATAATGGTCAGCAAAAACATATATTTTCAGCAAATAGAATGGCAGTAGTTTCTCCTGGTGAGTGGTAACATATCCTAGTCATATGAGTGCCATCACCCAACATATCCAAGGGCTGAGAATTCTGCACTGATAACATGTTTTCCCTGAATTTTTCATCTGCAAAATCAGTAGTGGAATACAAAGAGCACAACTGTACAGATCAATGTAGTCAAGTTACATATGATCTCAAAAAACTCGCTACTCTTTAGATCCCACAACAGAATGTGTCGTGAATTATACCACCATTCAACTCTGAAGTCTGAAAGGTTTTCGCATTGTTTCAGATTTTACTCCTGTATCTAACCAGCTTTGCCAATGTCTCCTGAGCAGCCAGTGTCTGGGAATGGTCATGCCCAAGCATGACAGTCCTGATGCTGATGCAGGTTCTACAGAGCTCCTCGCCGCTGTCGAATAACCCGCCTCGCATCAGCAGCTTCGCCCTTGTCTCGAGCAGCGTTGCCTTGAGCAGTGTCACCTCTTGCCAGATGAACTCATCGGCATGGCTGTTCGTCTGCAGCTTCTTCTTCCAGCACAATGGCCCCTGCTTCAAGTCCTGTATCCGCGATGCGAGCGACTTCTCTGCGTCCTCGAGGATGTTGGTGCACACCTTAAGAAGCTCCAATGCTGAACCACACCGAGAGAATGTCATGAAGGCTTGGATTGCGAGGGGCAGCGCCATCTTCTTGATGAAGAGCACCATGTCACCCGGCTTGAGCTGAACAACAGGTGGTTCAGACTTGAAGCCGAACACAAGAAACGCACTAGCCCACATGTGGTCTGAGTACACAGATATGTTTCTAGACCTTATGACACCTGATACAGCTGCAGTTGCAGGTGCCAAACCACCCCTGATCTTGCCAAACAGCAGCATGATTGGGTGAAACTGGATCCAGAAGCCCGGGTGATGCGTTGTTCTTCGTGCCAAGCCGAGTTTTACTAGTAAGAGGGATGACTCCACCTCAGCCTTCTTTGCTTGTGGAGCTAGGAAGCAGTGTGTGCCGCATAACAATGCCGTCTTGAGGGATTCACCCCACAACTGAATGCTATTGGCTTTTGTTGGTAGCTTGCTGGCCATGGTAGCTAGTAGGGTTGATGACATGGGAGCTGGAGCTAACCATGAACCAGCAGTGATCATTCTCAAGGCAAGGCTACCCCCTTTCACCCTGTCCATCAATGCAAAGCAGAAGACTAGTACCTTAATCAGGAACAAATTGTTCTGCCATAAGCTTTCATCATTGGCACCAAGAGCGAGCATGGTATCGCTCAACGATATCTGGTCAACAGCCTCAAACAGCGTAGAAGGAGCAATCATCAACTCGGACAACAGAGAACTGACAATCCACAAGCCAAAGCTCAGTCCGCCCAACCGCTCATCGAATTTTCGAAGAACTTCAATTTCCTCGGAAGGGTAGTCCTCCTTCATTTTCCTCTTCATCAGGATCACAGCTTCAGGAAATGAGAGCTGCAGAAGCTGCATTGGTTCAATGTTCATCACAACGGGTAGTCGTGTTGTCACAATGACATGGCTTGCTCCAGTGTTCCTAGGTATGAAGTCATGAAGGTCCTTCCCTTCCCACCAATCCCTCTCATTGTCGATGTTGTCGATGATAAGAAGGTAAGGAACATCCCTGAAAAGTTCTCGCTTCACCCTTTGAAATGCATCATGTTCTTGCTCCTCGAAGCTCCTGATCCTGCCCCTCTCCTTCTCAGCCTCAGCACTGATGTCCAATCCCAAATACATCGACAAATTCAGTATATTCTGCCTCAAGTACCTGGCCTCACCTCCAATCCACAACACCATCTTGTATCGTTGCGAGTATCGGTACGCAAACTCCAATGCAAGCTCCGTCTTGCCGATGCCCGAAGCGCCATTGATGCAGATCACACCGGCATTGCCATGGCTCTTGCTGCTACACCTGAATCTTGACTTCTTGTTCTTTGATCTCTGCCTCAGAATGCTTCTCCCTTTACCCGAGAACTTCCCTATGACAGGATCAACAAATGCCTCTAACATAGGTTGCTTGCACTTGCGCAAATCCAAGCTGATGAACCTGCCATTGGATGTCCTCACAGTGTCACTATCCTCATCAGCAAAACCATCTGAAGCACCAACGCTTGATTCACCAGTAGTCATGGCACCTCTTGGGCACCCGAAATCTTCTCCGGCATCGTCTGCGCGCCCGAAGAACATGCCCTCAATCTCAGAGAGCTCCTTCTCCCTTCCAACAAAATGCTTGTTCCGCGGAAATGGCAGGCACTCAACACCATGGCTCTCCTTCTCACCAATGCACCTTCGGCCGAGCTTCGATTGCAGCACGGCTGCTGTTCTTGACACACAACCTCTCCAGTTGCTCTCATCAGTCTCGAGCTTGAACTCATGACATCGCATTAGCCCCTCAAATGCTTCCACACCTTCCTTGTTACCTTCGAATTTGTCATCATCGAACAGCCCGGCAATGTCGAGCACCTCGGTGTCGAACAGGATGGGCACCAGGTTCCTCTTCTGAGCAAAGAACCGGATCTCCTCGAGGCTGAACGGGTTGAGGAAGCTGGCCATGGTGACCACCACGACGCCGAAGGTCACCGAGCAGATGATCCGGTCTGCGACCTCGTGGCTCTGCGCGTCGGAGTACCTTGCCCGGTCCGCCATGAACGAGGCGATGCCCTGGAGCTCGAGCTCGGATTTGAGCCACTTGCAGAACCTGGTGAGCGCCGCGCCCGCGCCCGCGCCCGCGCCGCCATGGAAGCCGATGTAGACGTCGCAGCTCCGGAGCTTGGTGGTGGACATGGGCGACGCCACCATGCCCCGGGTGAACGAGACGCGCGGCACCGGGAAGGTGAACGACCCGCGCGGCGGCGCGCCGCCGCCGCCGCCGCGGGAGGCGCTCGGCGCGTCGGTGTCCTCCGAGTGGGACACGTCGGTGCACGACGTCGGCGTCGACGCGGCGGCCGCGGCGACATCGGACGCCTTGGTCTCCCGATGCTGCCGCTGTCGCGGCGTCTGCGGCTGCGGCTGCTGCGGCGGCGGCGGGTCGGCGAGGCGAGGGGAGACGTAGGGTGACTGCAGCGCGGAGACGAACGCGGAGGACGGCGGCGACGGCGAGTTGAGGTACGGCGAGAAGGAGATGGCCGGCGAGATGGGGTTCGACCAGTCGCCGCCGCCGCGCCCGCCATTGGTGTTCGTCGTCTTGATGGTGAGGGACTTGGTGGCAATGGGGATATCCTTGGGCACATCAAGAAATGGTGAAACTTTTTCTTCTCCCTCCATGGCTAACAACGAATCGAATTCAGAAATCTTCAGTTTTTTTAATACAAGAACATCATGATGTGCTCCTGCATTTCCTGACACAATTGACAGCAAATTCAATTCAGAAATCACAAGTCATATACTCATGCGATTCATCAAAAAAAGAACTGCCATAAAAAAATTGAGCTCGCAAGAACTTAGTAGTATCAATCTACAGCTCATCAGCAAAATAAAATAGAATCAGATTGGAGGAACACACCAGTGGTCAACTAGCAGTCCAGCAATCAAGAATCCAATGCCACAGAAGGTTTCTTGGTATCAAAAAATTCAAAACAGGCGTGAAAAGGCTTGGATTTGGACCCTCAAAATGGTCAACTTCTCCTATTCAAACCATCTTATATATGATCTTGCCCCCAAGGAGGAGGAGAGAGAGTTTGGAGCCCCTATATCTATATGTCAACTTGTCAAGAAGTTTTACAGTTCGAACTTTGAAGTGTTCTAGGTGAAAATCTTGAGGATGGGGGATTGGGTGTGATAAAAGAACAAATTATGTGGCTAACCACATGACATCAAAAGGCACAAAGAGAAAGGAGCAGGTGCTAGAAGCCCAGAACCGCAAAGACCAAGGCCATTTCTAAATATTCAGAAAGGAGAAAAGCAGTGAAAAAAGCCAGTGACCAAGACCAATGCAACCAGTGGGTGTCAATTGCTCATGGAAAGTAAAGAGAGATTCAGGTAGAGGCAGCTCAGGCAGGTGTCCGTTGTGGTCGTGGTGTTTTGCCCTGAAAAAGCATCGAATCAAAGATCAAATGCGACTAGTACTGTAGCTGTACTGGTGATTCACAGATTCTCACTTGAATGAGCATCCTGGTCCCGGGAAAATAACCGTGCATGGCCACAGCATGGTCGGATGGACCATATATAGATTAATCGCTGGCCGTGCATAATTATTTACTGCCCCCCAAGCATGTCAATTAACACATCTACTTCCAAGCTTAATTTGGTGAACACCTCAGATGGAATTTTTTTTTTCTTAACCGAGCTATGATAGATATTCACTCTGTTCCAAAAATAAATTTATTTTTCACCCATCTCACATATTTTTTTATAATAGAATAAAATCCGGCCTTTGCTCAACGAGCTACAATTAATTATTACACAAATTCGCTTAAAAATGACTGCACACCAAAGGGTTCACATGAACACACCAAAATTTAACAAAATGCAAGCACAAACTAATAATCACCAACATAAAAAATAAAGAAACCACAATTTATTGAATCCTAATTGTGAATCTCCAACTAAAGTTGGCAAAGAGCTGCATGACCGTATACTCAAGTCTTCGACATGCATTCTCTGTTAGCTTGATGTCGTCATCACAACTTTGTAGTTGAGTCCAACACCGGAGCCAATATGTTGCTCTGAAAAGTACCTGCATATAAGATTTTGATGGTGATCTATCAAAAACCATATCATTACTACTAAGCCATAGAGCCCAGCATATATAAGACGCTACTACAAGAATAAGCTTCTTTGTCTTTGTATTGATACCCACAAGCCAAATTTAAAAAATATGATATATACTATGTGGAGAATATAACCCAAAAGAAAATTGTATTGCTCTCCAAAGAAATCTTACAAATGGCAATCCACAAACAAATGATGTATCGTCTCATTTTTCATAAAAAAAGAACACCTCATACTTCCATGCCAATTCCTCCTAACCAAATTATCTTTTATTAACACCACATCTTTAAACAAATACCACATAAAAATCTTGATCTTAAGAGGTATCTTAAGTTTCCAAATAATCTTATTCCTCTCAACATAAACATTATTAATTAAGGCTAAGTACATAAATGGAACAATGAGTTGACCATTTTGATGAAAATTCCATTTAAAAATGTCTTTTTCTTCTGATTTGTATTTGCACAATTAAAGCACATAAGTTATGCCAATTGACCAAAATTTGTCCTACTAATGTTATCCTAAAAGAAACATTAAATGGAACAGAGCCCATAACATTTGCAATGGAGTAATTTCTCCAACAAACTATAGAGTACAACAACAGGTATATGTCACCCATCTCACATGTACCAATACAAACTAAAAAGGCTAGAATCCTTTCACTTTATCAAATCACAGTGTAATTATTATTCTCTTTATCTACTTCTAATGCATTTATCTCCTCTTTTTTACAAACACTAGTGGAATGAATACTAGAAATAAAATTTTATTGAAGGAATAAAAATGATTTTATTCTGAGATGGAGGGGTACGTAGTATATCTTGCAGCAGGTGAATAATGCTACTAGCAGGAAAGAAACAGGCAGTAAAGAATTTTCACGGTTTGTGTCAGGAAAATGAAAAAACCCGGAGCCTAGTGGAGAGAGCGACGACTCGATCAGAGACCAGTAAATGGCACTGCTCTCGCATCAAATTCCGCTGCTACTGCCGACGAATTCAGGAGCTCGTGCAAGGACAGAGACAGAGAGAGACAGCACCCTCGCTCTGCCTCCTCGCACATGCAGAGCTGCAGCGATGGGGGCACGGCGCCTGAATCCCATCACGGCATCACCCAATCCTCTCCTGTGGGGAAGACGACGACTCTCGATCGATCGCTGATCGATCGGTGCGTTGACTGTATGGTGTTTGAGGAAGATAGGTATTAAGTGTTTCATTTAAAACGAGATGATAATAACGTGGTGTTAATTGAGTTTTAATTATTACAAACTTGAAAAATGGATTAATCTGATATTTTAGAGCAACTTTCATCTAGACACACCGTTTAACAGTTTGAAAAGTGTGTCACGAGTATCAAAAATATAATCCATGTCTTGTTGGAGAAATAAACACAGTATGTTGTAAATTCTCAATTTCCCATCCATCTTCTGAAGCAAAATCTTTTGGTCGACGAGCTCGAGATTCTGAAAAGTAACCGATAAGGAGACGGTTTTCAGCTTCTAGTATTTATTTTACCTTCTAGATTCTATGACTACACGTTATTATAATCTATTAGTATATGAGAACCTAAATTGTTGTAGAGAAGTTGAGAATCTAAGACATCTAAGACCCTGTTTAGATGGTACTAGAACTTTTAAATCCCTATCATATTTGATGTTTGAACACTAATTATAAATATTAAACATAGACTATTAATAAAACCCATCTATAATCTTGTTAACGATCAAATTTGGTAATATCAGCATCGGAAAAGGAGATTAGATCAAGGTGGAGTCGAAGGCGGAGATTGATCCGAGAACAGAGCAAGAATCGGCTGAAGTCCAGATCGGCTACAATTAGGATCGGCTGGATCTGAGTCGGACTAGGTGACCCGATGCAGCCGATTCTGACAGTATAATTCGGTGTATGACATTGGGTTGAATTGAGGTGCTTCAAGATGATTGCCGCACATGGATAGAGTCCTGAGAAGGCAATTGTATCTATTAATTAGGATGTTTTATGTAACTTACTTAGAGATATGTTTGGGCAAAAGTCTGCCGCAAAGACTTATGGTATCTTAGAGTTTGTTAGAGATAGTGGTCGTGTCCGGTATGGACATATCTTGTAATTCTCGGGTATAAATAGACCCCGAGCCCTATGTAATTTTTAACACACACGTTTAATACAATTTCGGCGCATCGCCACTTTTTTGCTTTAGTTTTGTTTCGACGAGTTCTTACTTTCGGGTTGAGCTGCATCGGTTTCAATCTTCAACAAGAGGTAAAACTTGTTATGACGACTTGTGTTCTCGAGATTAGTGCTTTCATCTTTATGACACTCTAATCTTATCTATATAATTCGTCAAGTTATCATATATCTTACATAATCTTTGGCAATATCATCATCTAACCTACAATCGGCTAACATCTGTTAATAGAAGGCAACAGATTAGGTTAAATAGCGATGTTGTCCTAGATTATATAAGATATCTACCACTTTATGAAACACCCAGCGGCTTGATTGTCTGGATATTGTTCTTCTTTTCATACTTAATGTTGCATCAGTTGAGTTTGACCTATTAAGTCGTGCTTAGAATATCAATCTCTAGCCTATCCTCTGGTTGCCGATTAGGGTAGTATCGGAGTTTCAGCCGATCTTATCTGATTTAACCATATTCGATCTATATGCTTCAATGACATGTTAAATCCGCCCTTTATGTCAAGATCCTATTGCATTTAAGTATATTAAGCTTTTGTTTGGTATATTATATTTGTTTTGATATCTTTATATAAAGTAGTTTCGGAGTATTAGCCGATACATGCTAGATCTATCTGATCTGATCGGCTATGCTATAAACATATATAATTCTGTTATTAATATATATTTCGATCTAAGTGATTTATACTGTCTCGGTATGGTTACCGATCTATCCCAATCACTTGATTTAAGTATATATTAATATAAGAACTATATATCGTTAATATCTACAGCCGATCGAATAGATCTAGTTCCTTACTATCTATTTATAACCGCCGATCAATTCATATATGACATCGGCTCAAAGATAAATGATATGTCATCGGCACCTAGCCGATCGGCTATCATTTATAGATTTAACCACGAATTCTTTGTCTCTATTTCTTGTTGATTACAGGATCAAATCAACTGGCACGCTCATACATTCGAAGGCAAGATTTGGACCTGCACTGGAGTTAAGCAGATCTCCCAGGCCTCGTGTTTTCTATCAACAAATCTTCGACTAATTCGCGAGACGAATCTACTGAGCCTAATTAATCTATGATTAGCCTATGTGATGCTACAGTAAACATTCTCTAATTATGGATTAATTAGGCTTAAAAAAATTTTCTCGCAAATTAGCTTCCATTTATATAATTAGTTGTGTAAGTAGTTTAAGTTTAATACTCTAAATTAGTGTCTAAATATAGAGACTAAAGTCTGGATCCAAACACCACCTAATTTTTTTTGATTCTTTGCATCGCATGTGAGGCGTCCTATCTGAGCTGTGATCCTCTGCGGCCGATCCATCCATCGCATGAGACAAGATTGTCTGAAACGAGGGACCGCCCGGCCGGCCGGCAATGTCCCTCAAACGCGTGAGCGCAATTATGCATCGCAGCCAACTGCGAAGACTGAACTCGTAAAGCCAAAATTCAAAGGCAAAGCGAGCTGGAGCTGGGGACGGAAAGGCTCACGTCAGTGAGCGCCAATTCAGTCTCGGCGGGGAGGAATCCGTCCGTGGTGCCAGTGATTCTCAACTCCGACTACTCATGGAAGAAACCCAACGGCATGATGGTAAACTGAAAGTAATTTATGAATAAAATTTATATATATATATATATATATATATATATATATATATATTCTTAGCGTTTTAAAAGTAAGGACTGAAAAATAAACTGCAATGAGAAAATATCAAAATCAACTTTAAATTTAAGGTTAAAAATTTAAATTTTAGCTTATACGTATAAGCATATGTAGCACCATATGCCATATCGCTCGCTTTATTTTGTGCGCACCAAATTGGAAGATGATTGATGATTCTAGTGAGTATACGGGTCTGTTATACAACGTGACATTTACTTCCTTCAGATTAATACTACTTATCGTTTTGATGTCACGATTTTTTTAAAAAAGTAACTTTGAAACTAATTTTATCACAATATATAAAAATATCAATAAATATATACTTTTATTAAAATACTTTTAAAGATTAACCTATACCTATGGTCTTCATTTTATAAGACATATTTTAGGTGTTATTTATAGTCAGTAACCTTGTCTAAAATGTTTAATATTATCAACAGGAGAGAATAGAATTTTATTATCAGGTTTACGGTTAACTTCCTGATGGATT